CTTGACTGGTCATTTACATGAGAACGGTTCTCATTTGTTTTCTCATTAAGGAATAAGGACATAACAATAGATGAAAGCTTTGAGATGTACAAGTTCAAATGCTCTACTAATTTAATCTAGTTTAATATAATAATATATACAACATAGTAATACAAGTATGATATTCTACTGAAGTAATTTTTTCATACAAGATACGTTATGCATCATTAAATACAAGGCCGCCAAGGAAAGAAAATACAAGACTGCTCAACATAGATTCTGCCGTTCCTTGGAGGTCAATGTTCACTACTAGCTACTTTATCAGGAATGCGTTAGAACTAGGAAAAAAAAGTTCATCAGTAGTTGAATATCTTAACTTGTAGTTTATCGACCTGATAATTGACTTGTAGTTTATCGACATTAAAATACAGTTCAAAACTACTTTATATTACCTTGTAAGTGTCCAATGGCATGACAGAAACTTGGTCGAACCAATAAACACCCTTCTTAACGGTAGTCAGTTGAAGCCTTGAATTAACATTTGCTCCTTTCGACACTAAAAGCCGCTCAACCTTGGTCCATTTTGATACATCCTGGGTATCAATTCTACAGAAAATTTATACATAACTTATTATCCTGAGAACCTTTATAATAATATAAACACACATAAAGGCTTACATAATGTTAGAAGCAGAGAGAAGCTGCGTTCCATCTGAGCTAGCCAGTGAAACCGTTATATTCACGGACCCCAATGACCTAATATACAATGTAACTTTATAGACCTTTCTTTTTTCAATATTCTGCAAATCACAATTAACAAAAAATATATAAATGAGCTCAATAAGTAATTTGGAAATAAAACAACTACTATTGCTAAAGAGTTAAAAGTTCTAAAAGAATCCCTTAATTATTAGGGTCAATCGCACATGACCCACTGTAGTAGCGTGCTTCCTATAGTTTGATTTTGGCAAATAGACACCTTGGATGAATTTTTTTCTCTTTGACCCTTATATAGCCTCCTTAATTTCCCGCGGGATAATTACTACTGCCAACATCTCACCCAGGGTAAAAGATGAATCAATTATCATTCAAGTTATTGACATCCATAAGTTCATACCATGCCCCAGTAACCAGGGTTATATATGCCAACACCAGAAGATGGACAGATGTTAGGCCCTCTGCAGTCACATAATACTTCCATTTGAAGCGCAACCTCATTACGACTGAAGCAAGAGGTTCGGTCTGTTGACACGGAAATATACGACTCGTTTCCAATTATAGACCATGGGTCAATGTTTGAAGGAGTGTTGGGGCCTCCAGCTTCAAATCCTGGATGCAAAAGTATGTGAATGAACCAAATCGTTCGTCTGTTTGCAAATTTAACATTAATGGAGGAAGAATTACAAGCATAGAAATTCAAGTAACGAAATATTTTGAAGGTTCGAGTCACGGGAAGTTAGTGATCATAGATGAACCCAATCTGATGGATAAAGTCTTGAAATAGACACATTGTCTTGAAAAAGAAAATTACCGAGGATGCAAGTAGCACAAGAAAGATTGCCACAATTAAAGTTTATGGTAGATATATTATGAATTTTTTTTAAACTGTTTACTTTGAACTCAGGCATATAATTTGAAGCCTTGCTATGATGCAGACTTCAAGACTCACAGCGTACCTCTATTGCTTACGAGCTCTGCCCACAACCCACCAGCTCCAGCATGGTTGATCTCCTATAAAAGGGGTCATGAGTAATCAGTTTTCTTCAACTTAAGCTTTCAAATATAAATAAGCAATTATTTAAAGCAACTGTAAGTCTGGTAACATTATACAATACTTATAATGCAAAGTTGAGATAAACGACTATTCATAATATCCAATGCGCGGATACTACAGATCCAAATTTAAACTATGCATTCAAAACGGAAAATTTATACTGTATCTTATTTTGTTAAAATCTCTAACCATGTATCTTGTACGTCGTGTCAAGATCAATTAGTGTCACCGAATTTTCATAAAACTGAATGACATTTTACCTTCTGATACATGATTATTGTATTCAACGAAGAATTCCGAAATCAGTGCCAGATTAAACTGCTTGTATATTCAACCATGTGTACCATGACCCAAAAGTTATTTCGAAACGAGGAAACTTCACCTTGCCAGAAGGCAAAGTCCCGAAAAGGGTCAATCTTTTCTATGCAAGGTAGCATTATGTGCCGTAAAAAGAGAAACTAGTAGACAATAAATTTACAATAAAGGGGTAGCTAAAAGTTCTAAAACTGCATACATGCCAGCAGTCAATTTCAGTGACATGATTAAAATTATTCGACACCTAGTATTGGCATTGCGAAACAGTTAACATATTACAATAGTAGACAATAAACTTGCACAGAAACCCTCAGAAGAAAGTAACAGAATTCACAGCAGCAAGTCCAAAGATAATACCTCGAAGGTCGTACCAAACATATTATCAGGTATCTTCCTGCTAGCTCTCGGCGAAGCATCGACATGAACAATACCTGTCTGGTTCGCTTTAAACTCACCAGCGCGAACTCGACACACAACAGAAATCAAGAAAAGGGCATGAACCAATACTATCAAAAGCCCCATTTGCAGACCCATTACCCTCAGAATGTTTTACGCATATATACACGCGCTGAAACCTGAATGTTGAGGTAAACAAAAGACAAGGGAACCAACAGTTAGAGTAGAAGCAAGTTGAAAATATAATGTGCAAGGCAATCCATTACAATCAACTGGATCAGTGGAGTAATCCCCCAGCTTAAAGAAAAAGAGTAACTGAAAATTTTTAAAAAAAAAGTGATTTTGACAACTGAATTGTACCGAAAATATCCTTATCCTGTTCTCAGAACTACAAAAACTGTCAAAAGTCTACAGTTTTCATGGAAATACTGTCAGAATAATTACAGAGTTGATTGCAAGAACCAAAATTGAGGGCGAGAAACAAGAAGATACCTGATTACTAATAGAAATGGATGGATTTGGAGTGAGAAATGACAAAATTTTGACTTGTGGGTTTAATTCATTGAGTTGTTGCTTGCGAGATTTCAATTGAATGATTGGACCCAGGTGGGCCCTACTGAGAGAGAGATTATCCAATGTAGCAAAAGAGGGGAATGGTGACGATTTCGATGAGAAAATATGATTGGATTTGTTTGTTTTTGTACGAATAAGAATCCGTAGTTATTACTTGGAATTTGTTGCGATCTGTCGTATACGATCAGATAAATTTCACAATACCCCCCGTCTACCCTTGGCCGACTTGGAGATAACCCCCTAATTAACTTACTCCTCATACAAATTTAGCCCCCACGTGAAAATAAGACAGTTAAATTAAAATAAAAAATCCACTAAAGTACTTCTGTCATTTGGACATGTGATTTCCCTTAGGCAGTCAAATCTGACGCTGTTAAAAGGATGTTTGGGGTGGCTTTTTTTTTGGTGAAGCTAGCTTTTAAACGAGCTTTTTCATTTCTACGTGTTTGGTAAAATAACAAACAAGTTAGCTTATAAGTGACACTTTAAAGGTTGTTACACCTCAGCTTTTTAAAAACAAACTTATAAACTCACCTAAATATGTTAGATTTGACAAAACAAATTATTGTACTACTCATGAGACAAACTTCTTTAGCATTTTTATCATAAAAGTTAAAAGCCACTAAAAACTAGTATAACTTATAAGATTTAAAAAAAGGTCTTTCAAAACCCCCTCTAAGCAGGACTTATTGTTGTGCGCGGCGGAAGTTCTCGAAGCGACACGAACAATAACTCGAGATAAATCACAACCACTAAGCAAATCACAATCACAGTAAGAACAAACTATTAAAGTGGTTCGGCAAGTAGCCTACGTCCACGGGGCAAGGGGGGGGGAGTTCTTACTATTAGAAATCAAGAGAATACAAATAGAGTTACAAATCTCACTGATCAAACCCTAAAACAAAGCTCTAGATCTCTCACAAATCTCCCACAATTGGATGCAGCAATCCTCTCCAAAAGACTTCTCAAAATCATCATTGCTTTTTCCTAACTAATCAGGATTAGAGTTATATATCAACTCCAAAACGAACTGGGTTGGAAACCCAAAGCCCATCCCAAACAGCCTGCGGTCGACCGCACAGGTATCGCGGTCGATCGCGGCGGTCGACCGAACACTCCCGAGAGCAGAATCTATTACAGTCATGGCGCGGTCGACCGTGACGGTCGGCCGAATCTCATCCCCGCGGTCGACCGTCACGGTCGACCGCCTTCAGCTTCGAATTCTACTGCCCTTCTGTGCACGTTCGCAGTCGACCACCGCTGACTCGCGGTTGACCGCCAGCCTGCCTGGCTGATTCTCCTGAACTTCCTACTGCTTTTCTCGCCACTTCTTCAATTCTCCACATCGGCGAATGTTTCTACCAAAACTGAGTCGACACCAAATCATCCAATAGTCCTACTTGTTGCGTCCAGGACGTCGTGGAAACACCCTTACGACAACGGACTCAATCCACAATAAGTTTGGGATCCAAACTAGAGCTGAAACATGATCCCCCCTATCGAAATCAAACCGGCTGCATCTGAAAGACTGTCTGCATATCCTCTTGTCCAAGGAATCAAACCGAACGTAGTTCACCCAAATGGCCTCCAAATGGCTCAATCCACTAGAAGAGTTCGCAACCCTTCTCCAAAACCACAATCAAGTCTACGGCTGATAACACCTCCAATGGCCCCAAACTGAAATAATCCAAATATCTCCACCTAAGATGAACCAATGGTCATATCCAGACTCCATCTATCAGCTACACTCGAATCGATCAACCTATCATCTGCATCCAAATCGACATGATTCTCATTCTGTGTCACATCAGCTGAAATCCTAAATGATGCAGTATGATCTGGAGTCTCCACCCAGCGTGAAGTAGCATCACTCTCTACCTGCTGCGATGTTCCAAAGATCTGATCACCACTCTCCACCTGCCGAGAGTCAAACGTGACATACATGCTCAGAACAAAGCCAGAAGCCAATACTTGATAATCAAACACACCTCTGACTCCCAAATGTGCTATCGGATCAAATCTCACATCCATGATGTGACCAAGTACTGGGTAGCCAAACATCCGACACAACCCAAAATCTGAAGCAGCTCCATCAGATCCAAAATCTCTACATGCAGCAGTCGGCAACCTATGCATAAGATGACCCAAACATGTCGTAGCCCGCACATCAAAGCCAATGCTCGACATCAAACGCCGATCCTCCTCCAGTAAGGAACAGCTCCCAAAATTTGCCATCTCGCCTCGTCGTCTCAAAGTTTCCACATCAATGAAGCGTCTCCTATTGCCGTGAGCTATGCACAATCACAAAAAAGAACCCCTACCATAATCAGAATGTCGGGTTACCTTTCTATCAACACACTTCCTCCATCTGTTGCGGGATTCTAGGACTTCACACCAACGGGACTTGGTTGTAACCCACCAATGCCTAGAGCAATCCCCAACTACATAAACTACATACCTATTACCTCCCAATGATGCTCTTTTGGAAGGACCCCGAATGCCTGAATGAATTGTTAGTCCCTAGAGGGGGGTGATTAGGGTCTTATGCTAATCTAATCCGATTAAATGCCAATTATAAATTAATTAATAAGTTATCCTAGCAAGTATAAAATACAACAAGATATGTGAGCTAGGATAAGCAATATGAACAACAAGATATATCCTAAATGATAGAAATATATGCAAGGATATATAAACAACACAAGGGTAAATAATCTAAATAGGATAGTGGATGAAATGAATGAGCAATGCATAATTGGCGATATAAGATGAATGCAAAAAAAAAATACGCCAAAGACAAACTCAAACAAGCAATATGATCACGGAGTTCGGACCTTCCGTCCTACGTCTCCGCTCCCTACTCCCGGGGAGAAATCCACTATCAACCGGGTTTTCTACGTTCACCCGAACAACGTTTATACCTCAAACTCGATTTTCTAGCTAACCAAAAACTTTACAATCAACACACTATTATAATCCCACTCTACACCCACTAAGTGTTGGACCTAGCCGTGTCTCCCTCAAGTGCTCGGTTACAACCTCTCCCTAGGCACGTCAACCGACGCCACTCCTCTTGGATTCGACCCCGTACCTTACAACACTCACAATGTAACAAATATAAATTTGTTCTCTACAATAGATGAGAACTCAATTAAAGCACAACTCAAAGTTACAATCTCTCACCACCCAACTATACTATGTATGTAAATACTAAAAGCTCAATGTGGGTGTGTGTAACAATGAGTAATATAAAAACAAATCTAAACTCAATATAAAACTAGATTTTATAGAAATGATAATTAACAAATAATTATAAGTAAAAGCTAGAGTTGAGTTTAGGAAAACTTCTCTAGATCAAGATGGAGAGATGGAGATTTGAGGCTCAAACAATAAGATAATCTCCTCCACTTCTGAAAGCTAAAACTGCTTTAAACCAAACCCTTAAACAAACTTAAACAAGCTTAAACTCTTTTTAAAACCCTTGATTAAAAAACTTCTTGGCTTGCCTTGAAAGAGAGCAGCAATAGGGTATTTATACCCACTCTAACTCTCAGTCAAAACCCTTAACAAAAGACAAAACAGTCCCAGCAAACAGCTCAGAAAATAGCCGTTGAAAAAAAGCAACGGATCTATTGTCGGTCGACCGGAAATTCTGTCGGTCGACCGATGGAGAGCAAAAACACGAAGAACAGCTCTGGACAATCGTCGGTCGACCGGTGCGGTTGACCGACCAACTCTCTATCACCCAGTGATGAAAGATCAAATGATCGGTCGACCGGTGCGGTCGACCGAAAACTGACATATGAAAATCTGATTTGCTAATTTTAAAATGCTGTTTAAAAATATCAAATAAATTCCAAAAAATGTAAAACTTTGGGGAATAATTGTAGACATGATAATAAACATGCTACAGTGACTGGTTATCAGAAAGGACCTCCCAAATGGAAAATATCATCATTTTAAAAAATAGTCCAAAACATGAAAATATGAGATACTTGAATTTTGATGTTTTGACATAAACCAACTTTTGAAACTTTGTAAAATATTTTTGTAGACTTAGTAAAACATGCATAAACTGATATTGAAGTCTACAAACTAAGAATACAATATTTTCACAAAATTACATATTTTATGCAATGTTTTCAAAAACACAGTAGAAAATATGAAATATATAATTTCATATATATAATCATAAAAACCCAAAACATATGCATGTATATATTGAAGCTTGAACTTGATCTTTAACTTGAATTGTATGTTGCTTCACTCCACAATTCTGCCAACCTCCATTGGATATCATCGTTGTAGCGCATATTCCATCCATCCTCCAACAACGTTGTTTGTCTATAATAAATAAGAACACAAATGCTAGACAAATAACATTAGTGGTAAATTGTTTGTTAACATCATCAAAACAAGAAGGCCAACATGAACACCCCTCAGAAGACCCCTCGAATGATGGATATAAGTGCCAAACTCCACCCCGATCTTCTTGCTCATACCAATGGGTTCACAGGACTTCAAACTGCAGGTCAAAACACTCCTCAACAACCTATGCATGATATTACCAATCAAATAACCCAGAATCAAACAACGCCACCGTCTAGCCGAATCTGATAAAGTCGTCAGCTCCCTATCAATTGCCATGCTTTTGAGCAAATAATACAAATTGCTCCTTCTGACGCCCTTCATCACGATCATGGACCCCAATGTGACCTTCAAACATGCATCCACCAAGGTCACCCTATAGTCTGCTACCTCCAAAGCTCCAAGTAAAATGATGTTCATCTTTAATTGCGGAACGAACCTCACATCATCCAACTCTCGCATCATCCCATCACTCATTTTAATCCGAACAGTACCAATACCACCAATAGAGCATTATACATGTCCATTACCCATGAGCACAACATCCTCTCTTTCCAACTCCTGAAAGCTGGAGAACAAATCCCTCCTAGGGCAAACGTGGTAAGAAGCACCCGAATCCAACATCCACTCCGTAGAGTCGGCATCACAAACTGATGGTA